CTCAAACCTTGTGGACCTTGAAGGGGAGGGTTGATTAATCCGGTGTCGACATTGGAGGCCATCGCTATGAACTGAGCAAGAACCTAGTTGCTAGTATAAGTTGGTTTGTATCCATCGAATGGGTCAACTGCCCGAATCGATTCGAACTTCCCGCACGCGGGCACGGCGTCTGTGTCGCAGTGCACGCGCTGCCCCTTGGGTTCGTACGGTAGCTCTGCAAAAATGGCTCTTTTTGCAAGTGTGTTTGGTCTGAGAAAGCCTGCAGGAACTGAAGAACAGCTTATTGAAGTAAGCTTGAAGCAAAGGTTACCGTTCTTGAATCTTGTGCATTGGAGGTTTTCGCTGCTGTTCTGAAACCTTGGAATCATCAGGAGTAAACTATATTGGTTCCAAGGTACGGAGCGGCCAAGAATCGATTGAAGTGCTGAATTGCTCGCCATGTCCGGTCTCTCCCTACATCAAGCCACAAGTCTTAGCTAGCTGCCAAGAGAAGATGAGGACATAAGTCTTAGCTAGCTGGGTCGACACCCGTTTCGCCCAGCTCAACACCGTAGCTTCACCCTGTCGACCGTCCCCCGGAAGAACGGAAGAGCTCCGACGTTCGGCGACCGAACCCGGTCCGTGTTCGGGTCAAACGAGGCAAGAGACGTTGGCATCTTGTGGTAATCTACATGGAAGGCCCGGTGATTGAAGACAAGGTGACATGTTAAGACCACAAGGTACCCCAGCTGAAGAGCCAGCCGCTCACAGTCCTTGAGATCGGCACGAACCACCTGCTGGTCGTAGCCTGGTCAGGACGGCGGTTGTTTTATCAGAAATGGGTTGCCTTCCTTCCAACACTCGGGCACGCTAAACCCAAACGAGCAACGGTTGAGTTCAATCATGCTCAATCTGTTACACCGCCCATGTCTCAGGCAGATTGTCGACCCCAAGTCAGGCTACTTGGCTACTTGGACGATTTGCCCACGAAGGATATTTTGTCGCCTCAACTACAATCCTATACGATATCAAACACCATGGACAAAAACATATGAAAACCGTCCATCCTCATACATACGGCCAAATGTTCCAACCAAGTCAACATCACACAAACTTCTCAGTCAAGTACCAAATCATGATGACTTGGTTTACAATATGTTTATTAATGTCTCCAATGCACAGTCAATGACAGCCGATGTTCCAATCCATCGGGACGTCACGACGGGAATAGACTTGGGTGTGCCACAAATCAACCGAATGGACCCCGCTAGCCGAGCGAACGAGATGCTTGAGATGCGAACGAAGTAGACTTGATCTCGATGTGGGGTAGTTTCAAAACAGCTCTTGCCAGGTAACCGGTGACCCCTCTGAGTTGCTTCACAGCCTCGCCACCACCCATGCCCGATGCACGTCCTCTAAGACTCCAGCCAAGGAGGCTCAGGATCTTTTTCCTCATCATCCAGGCCAGCAACAATCCTGAACATCCGTCGACACGTCGACCGGGACGAGTCGTGCGGCGTGCCTTTACCATACCGCTCCGTTCAGGTGGGGTTGCAGGTTTGGACAAAACAAAGCATGCACGTTGTCACGTTGCAATCAAAACCTCTGTACCACTCACTTCACAAACATCACAAAACTAGGTGCAAATACAACAAGTCCAAAGAATTGGTGACCATGGATATGGAGTCTCATCAGCACCACCCGGGACAACAGGACGTCGATGAAATCTCAGCTTTTCTTCGATGAGCACAGCAAGTTCGCCCTGCCTAGCACCAGGGAGACTTGCATCAAGACCTGCAGTGAGCATTGGAGCATTGGACACTGGTCAGCCAGTCCAAAAGCACACACCCACACTTTTGCAACATGACTTCAGGGCAGCTGACATCAACTCATCATCTTGCTCTCCGGGACAAAACACGTGGCGTCAATCCACTTCCAAGGAGTCTAAGGAGGCTGCAATTCTGTGGACGATGAATGAAGACTGTGGAACGAAGAGCTGCAACATGTGCAAGGCCGGGTTTTGTTGATCAAAGGAGTCGTTTCCTCGCCCACCGGCCCCACAACTCGGATGCCAGCCGCTTCAAGCTTGTCGGACAAGAGCTCCAAGAGATTGACCTGGCAAACACCGTGCTCCAAAACCGTGTTTGACGTCTGACAGTGACGTGTTTGGTCTGAAGTTGTTTGGATTTAGCCCTATTATCGCCATAGCTGTCCATTTCGCTTCGGGCATCCTCTAGCGCCACAGCTGGGTATACTCGCTATAGCCCTGGCGGGCCGTGGCCATATTCACCGAAGGAAGTTCTGAGACGTGAAGCAGGTCCCTCCAACGAATGGTCTAGACTCTAGACGTCTTCAACGGATGGATCACACAAATCCATGGAAAACACCGCCCGTCTGCTTCTTTAAGGAAACATGTCTTTTCCAAACATATACAAAAAAAACACATTCTTGCAATTTCTTGCACATCAACATGCCGTTAGGATATAACATTAGATAACAATATAATGTTCACTGCCAAGCTTTCCGCCAACATCAGCAATTGACTGAGAGGAAGAGCAGATTGAGGCTCCGAGCAAATTCGAAAAACAGATCATTGGCGTTGACGTCGGGCCTCATGACATACATGAAGGTCATCCAACAATGTCCAACATACAGGTTCTCGATTTGCCCATGCACCTGTTAGACGTGGATCTTCGTAAGCCACATATTCAACAATTGTCTCACCCCCAATGTTTGCAGGATGTACTTGTAGCTGGAGCTTCCACCCGCTTGGATGGAAAGAACTAAGCTGCAGTCAGCGTCCTGGGTGTTTGAACCGCAAAGAAAGGCTGAATGGGCGTGAATTTGAGTAACCAAAGCGCCGAAGAAATGTCAAATCAGTTGAATCTAAACCAACGCAATTTGCATATTACAGCAATACAGAGCAAGAACGGACAAAGTCCTTGTTTCGCTTGTTTGTCCGTGCTGCTACCAAAACCAACTAATACAGCTGTATCAAATGTTTGTCCTTCCAGCCCTTTGCCCGCCATTGCCATCAGGCTTCCGCACTCTTTGGCAACCATGTAGCTCACGGCGCTCAAAACAAAGACCACACCAAAGCAGAAGTAACTGCGTCGCTCCGGTCCGGTTCCCGGTCGCGGAATCCGATGGGGGTGAGACTTGAAGGATCGGTATTTCAACGGGTTTCAACGTTCTTTCCAGCCTTCAAACACCTCTCAGTCTTCCTTTCACCTGATTCATGTTGGTGGAAAATGGTTCTCTTCCAACAGGGTGGATTCTGGATGAGAACATGCGTTTCTAGAGACGTTCCATGAACTGTCTAAACCGCCAATGAGCGTGCAACTGATTTGGAGATCCACTTATAAAAGCAGCCTAGATTTGGTGGTGTATCTCAAATCATTGACCAAGGCTTGGAAACCTGGTATGGCATGGAGAATTCAGTTGCAAGTGTCCAATGTTTTGCATCAGATTGGCAAATATATTTGTTAAACGGTATGGCGGTATGGGAAACAACATGAAACAACATTCAAAAGACAAACGGGGGAGAACTAACAAAACAAAAAGCACACATCATCGCACTGATGAACTGTCGCATTGACAAAATGGCGCACCAGCTGACATGTCGAGAGAGGCATCTCTGGAAACACCGGCAGCAAAGTCCACGGTTGATCAAGACCAAAGGCAGTGCCTGGGATCTTCGGTTGGGCCGACAAAAGGAACTCTTTCGAGGGCCAAAGGGGTCGTGTTTCGTGTCTGATCTTTCATGAAACACGGAGGCTCCAGACAAAAACATGTGCAAGCATGCCCGTGTTTCGAGTGATCCCCACCCAGAAAATGTGATTTGGAAGAAGGGGGGATGTATGTAGTGACATCTTGGTATATGACCTGGCAAACTCCGTAACATATGAGAAGTTGGCAAAGGTACCCTGATCATGGTTAGTTTAAAATGTACAGTATGCACTTTTTTTCTGCCCTGCGCTCGGACATATGTTCTGACAGCTCCTGACCTTATTTGGCATGGCACATAGGCTCTGACATCAATGCCGGATGTGTTTTGACATGCGCTGTGACACCTGTTCTGACTTGCCTTCTGAAATCTATTCTGGCATCAATTCTGGCATAATCTGCTTAAATTTGATCTCGCATGTCTTTTTCCCCAGATAGCCGGAGCTATTGGGGTTCTTACTTCAAGTATAGGAAGAGGTGCCTGTGTGCGCTTCAGAGCCTGGGTGCTCCGCTGCCACTCAAGGGAGCCTGGGTGCTGCTGCCAAATGCTTATGGCGGTGCGCTTTGGAGCCTGCATACTGGTGCCGCTGTTATGGTGCTGCCCACAAACTACCTTGTGCTATCTGGGGTCTAGTCTATGCTGGCGTAAATTTGGTTTGGTATAAATGTTGTGACATTTGTTCTGGCGTATCTCGTGACATGTATTCCGGCATCTGAACAAACATATGTTCTGGCATCACGTCTGGCATTGACATGTGTTCTGACATCTGCTCTGACCTTTGCTATGACATGTATGACTGCATTTTGTCCACCACATGTTCTGGCAGGATGTCTCGCCCGTGAAGTCCAGCACGACACAGGCACTTGCGAAGGCCATGTGTCCAGCATGACACAGTCACGTCGAAGAGCCATGGAGGAGCAAACACAATGAAAAAGAGGCACAGCGAGGAGGAGCAGAAGGAGGAGGAGGAAGAGAACACTGACATAATTGTGACATAATACTGTATCTAGACACCCTCACCTGACAGGTTGAGAACAAGGATCAGGAGGTCCTATCGTTTGTTCAAACTGCTTTTCCGTGGCTTTGTACTTGCAAGACTGAGACTCGTGGACTGTTCCTGCTCAAAGGAGCTTGAAACATATTCAATACATTATATATATATATGAGTTAAATAAATATATAATATATATACTGTAGTCTATAGTTTATAGTTACATCATACCAAAGACAACAGTGCCATACACTTCCACAACTCCCTTCCCTTCGTGCTAGGTCCACTACAGCACGGCTTCGCTTTTCTGGGCTGCTAGACATTGCTGGCTCAAGCCGGTCCGAACAAAAACAACAGCAAACACTGGGCGTCAAGGAGTGAACATCATGTAGACCAACAAGAAGAGGATGGACTAGGGGGAGCCGCTACATCCCCATTGCTGCTGGCAGCTTCTATTTCAATGTCAGCCTTGCTAGCCTTGTTGGAAGCAGTTTCAGCTTCAGCTGGCCCTGATTGGCAGTTCGGTGAGGGAGATCCCAAGATGTCGCAGCTATAGCACATGATCAGAATGACTAGCATGATGCTGGCGGGGATAGCACATAGAAGGCCTGGATCTGTTAGTACCAGGTAATAGAAGCTTCCCACGAAGATGGCAACCGGAAAGGCAAGGCTGGGGAACAGCACGGCTGCAGCACATAGGCGCGGAATGTATCGAGCCAGTCGAACACCGACATGCAGTTCGATGAAATTTGCCCACCACGTCCCCAATAACAGCGCCATGCTGATTGTCATCCATTCCAGAAGCCATCGCGGAATATCCAGGGCAGCATCTTCCTTATAGGAGCAGCCACTCATGGTTCTGTGAAGAATCCTCGCCAAAGTCTCAGAAAGCCAAGGCATGTTGGTTGCCGCAATCATGTAAAACTGGTAGCGGCGGGGTATCAAGTTGGACATGCTCGAGAGGATCGAGTTCGCTAGGCGCGTCTGGACGAGCCAATTGAACCGCGACAAGCTTAACAAACCGTCCTCATCTCCGTCCTCGGGGTGGCCATACCATTCTTTCAGCTTCAGATACACAAGTTCCCGGTCGCACGGAATCTCCGCGCCAGTGTCGGGATGTCGATGTTGATTTGAACAACAAAAGCAAAGTGTATCTTGCATCCGAAAGGTGTGCAGCTGCTCTTCAACAAGCTGCGCATTTTGAGCTAGGTCAATGCCCCAAGAAAGCAAGGGAACACTAAAAAATGCCACCAATAAACATGCTGACAAAACACCAAGCAGCACCTGATCGTGTCTCTCTAGCAACAGCATACCCGACTGGTCCGCATCCATCACATGCAGCACGTACCACAAGGTATTCGCGACGCCACTCCATGTCACATATCCCAGCACCAAGATCAGGCCCGCATGTGCTGGCATGACTACCAAGGGCTTTTGCTTGCCATCTGCCAAGAACGTCGCTATTTCATAGGAGCACCAAAGCCTTCGAAAGTATCGGGGAGACCAAAGAACCTTGCTCGAAGATTGGCAAAAAACAATGGACCTCAAGGCAAAAATAAGGTCACGCCCGCTGCAACGGCCCCGCGCGATTTGCGCGTTCTCACATGCATCTTCGAGTCGTTTTTCACAACCCCTCTGGCACTTTATGGCGATGCCTTTTTTAGGTCAATGTCATTTCGAATGTGTTTTTACACCACAAAACGCCTCCCAAATCGTAACTCCATTGTGAAATGACAGTGCCTTCGGGGACCCGGAAGTAAAAAAAACGGATCTTGTATCGTTGCTCTTTTTTTCATGAAACCTTAACACACTTCCACTCCCTCAGGCGTGCCACTCCTTTTCACGCGTTCCACTCCTTCTGTGCCATTTGACCCAACTTCTGCAGTTGGTGCTTAGACGGTGTTATTACAGCGCCACAGAAAGCTATATATATATATATATTCTTGGATCTGTGCACTCAACCCGCCATTGGATCGTTTGGATGCAAACTCTTTCGGGATAAACTTCTTCAGGGATGACCATTTGCGGTCAATACATTGGGTGCCATGCGTTTTCCGACCACGCGCTTTGCGCGTAAACTCCATCTTCACATGCTTCACTTGGAAGCATTTGCGCTTCAAAACTTGGTAGCATCCCACCCCATCCCCAACGTAGCATCAACTTGGTTTGCAAGTGCAAGCGAACGTTAACTGACCCCACCCCATCCCCACCCCATTCCCAACGTAGCATCAACTTCGTTTGCAAGTGCAAGCGAATGTTAACAGACCCCACCCCATCCCCACCCCACCCCATCCCCAACGTAGTATCAACTTGGTTTGCAAGTGCAAGCGAACGTTAACAGAACCCACCCCATCCCCACCCCACCCCATCCCCAGCGTAGTATCAACTTGGTTAATGGTGAAAACGTGGAAATTCTCCGGGGCCGTTAGGGGGGGCGTGAGCAAAAATATGCAAACATTACGTAAGCAAATTACAGGGCAACCACCCGAACGCAAAAATAGAGGCATCACAAACTACCAAGGTACAACAAGCCGCCTCGAATGGTGTAGGAAGGCTGCAAGCCCCAGAATTCCTTTGGCCTTCAAATCTGCAAGTTCCGGGCTTTGGGCAATGCACAGTTTGTCCAAAAAGACAAACCGTGGTGTGAACAGCAAGGTACGAACTCTTTGCCAAAAGCACAAAACAATAAGGTGAATGCCATGGCAAGTTCCAACTGCAATGAGCCTCTGATCCAGCGCTAAGAGGTTTGGTCTGCATTCCGGCTGATGAAACAACCGGAAAGTAGCCAGTGCGACAGCTACCAACAACGTTGCAACAAGTGCTGCTCCTGAGTTGTAAATGATCAGCATCGATGCAAGCTTCAAGAATCGAGAGGTTGCCCAGTCGTGACTCAGGAAGTCGTCAAAGTATTCCATGGCACGGCTCAGGTCATAGTCGTGGGGATTGATGTTGGACATGCCCGGATCGGGCTTGCGCCAGTGTCTTCCAAATCCACTGAGGCACTCATGCAAGGACACTCCACGAAGCAGTTCTGGCTCCAAACGAGTCAGCAACTGGGGCTGTTCCATGGCTTAGCACTTGGAACGGCGGTTCAGACGGACTTTGTGTGTTATTATGATCATTAAATGATTGTATATGCGTGGTGGTTGATCTAAAAAGGAGTCTTCCAGAAACGCCACTCTCAGCGAACAACACATATTTGCATTATATTATACTTTTGTGAACTCGATATAATTATTACAGTAAAGAACATATCATGTTTACATTATTTTGCGAGCAACATAGAAGGTTCTGAACCTATAGGTCTTATGTCGACCTTTTGATCAACTATATAGCAAACCTGTGGCTTACCACAGTACTTGCAGCTCTGAGTTGTTGCGAAAATCCCCTCCCCACTGGTCTGCCAAAGCCCACAGAGCGTCAGTGCGGCTGCTGCCCGCGAATCATGCAGCATCACGACATGTGATACAACAAACTGCGCTACGTGTGGCATTCTAAAGTTGTGCAGGATGTGCTTCTAGATTTCTAGTCACAAAAAAAGACTAGGTCTCCCAATCTCCCTGCAGGTCTCCATTTACTGCAACCAGCCCGACCGAACCGGGCATCTTCCGTGTTTTCTTGGCGGTTTTCTGCGTCCAGAAGACGTGGTTTTCGTCCAAGAGGCCCAAATCATGAAGGCCAGCAGAAAGACCACAAGGACCTGCGACGGATCGACGGGGGCCGACTGGTCGACTGGTATCGACCTGCGACTCGACCTGCAACTTAGTTCGCATGACTGCGAAGCTCAGGTGTCCAGGTCTGGTTGCTCTATGACTTTTTTGCTATTTGTATCAAGTCACTATTGCAGTTGAGTCATGAAACATCCTGAACATTTATATAATATAACGCAATTAAGAACAATCACATAATAACATATAATATCTGTGACATAACCATTATGATTCTGATATTACGACAAACTGATTCTTCGCACCACAAGTGGCTGGCAAGCAAGTTGGAACACAAGAACAACTTCATCGTGCTTCCTTCTTCCAGCGAGCCCCTGGAAGCCCACCTCCATCTTCTGCACCATCTTTTCTCGCTTCTCTTCGGGTAGACTGCAACATCCGGTCAAAGGCACGTCATGTTTGGAGTGCTTCGGAGACCATGAACAAAGTGGAGGACGTGCAGAGTGTGGGTGATGTTGATTGACATCTGATTGGGACAAACTCGCTTACGCAGTGGGGGCATCCCCAATGTCTTAAATGCTCACCGGTAACTCAAAAGACTTCCAACCAATTGGTGGGTGCACTTCAGAAGGAGACCGCACCTGTCCAGCGGAAATGCCACCGGGATGATGGTGGTGAGGGCCTCACTGGCGGACCGTCAATTTGGCGAGTGCAAGTGCCTCATTTGCAGACCTTTTGAGGGAACTCTCTGGACAGTCCAAGCCGAACAAAACGAAAAGAACCGAGAAATCGGTGGAACTGAGGAGACGAAACCACTTGATGGAGCACGTGCAGTACTTCTCTTACAGTCTGTGGAACATGGAGTCCAGTTCCTCCGGGGAGTCCGGGGAGGCCGGCAGCTGGCTTCAATTCATTTTGAGTGGAAAAAATACACTATATGTAGCCTCTATATATATATATATATATATTGGGAGAAGCAGTTGCAGTTCCGGGTGCCTCCCTTCGTTGAGGTTCTTTGTTCAGGCTTCTTGGGGACCCGATAGCCATGAGGGAGTTCTAGTCTAGAGAACATGTTCTTTACGACTACATCCTTCTCCTTGAGCAGCTCAGTATAGCTTTGTTCTGCTCCATGAACACATTGGACCAAGTTCAGTCTGCGAAAATACTGGAGCTTCCCGACACCTTCCGGAATCACCGGGAGTTTCCAGCCCACCTGAAAGCGCGGCTGCAAGAGTCTTTCAGTCGAAGTACACCCCAAAAAAATGGCAGACGATTTCCTGGAACCTGAGAATTGATGCCTGGCTCCAACCCAGTGGCATAGGGGTTCCATGTTGGCGAGATCTGAGGAGTACCATTGGCTGCATGTTGAAAACACCGAAAGGACCGCTCTTCCACGGGGTACGCCCAGACCAACACGGAACCGGAACCAAGCCCGACGGGCTTCACACATGAGCTCCTGCGCCGCCAGCAGCGAACTCATAACCAAGCTGGGTTGGTCACAAAATCCCATCCGATCCTGATTCCTGATAACAAATAACATCTTGGTTTATTCCGGAACCTCTCCAACCTGCGGAAGACCCTCGGCACCTGACTCGGCTCGGAGCTGCGCCATGCCTTTCGCCATGTTCATCCCGCCTGCGCCGCCAAGGGCTCCGTGGTGGACTTGGCCGCGTGGCCCAAATTGCTTTTGATCGCCTAGCCGAGGCCCAGACTGCCCAGCGCGTTAAAAGAGGGCAGGAAGCACGGGAACTACACGGGACTACACTTGGAACCCAAGGGATGCAGCACAACAACGGGTCGAAGTGCCATTGCGGTATCTGAGACAAAGCAGGAAGTAAGATGCAACATAAGTTGGATTGTGCCACAAACAAACTCTGGTTGGGCTCACAAAGGGTCCCTAAAAGAACAACCACGAGCCGAAGGATGCACTCACGAAAAGGGTTAAACGCCCGGTGTAGTCGAACACGATACGGACAGGGAACACAAGAAGCACCAATTGAGATGTTTAAATTCATTCAAATCACTCACGGGCCAAGCTCTATTTGTTTATCTATATAGTATTACATCCCATCTTCCGCATCCACGGGGGTCAGTTTCTGCTCTCGGTGTCAACGTCCCACTTTCCAAGTGGCATGTTCAATGGGTGCCAGAGCGTCTGCCATGACCTGCTGAGCAAGCTGAGTGAGCCGGGACACAGACCTGAGGACTGAAGACGACGTAGACCCAAACACGACTGGCATACTTACAAACATTGGGGCTGGTTGATTTGGGGTCAATGTAGTTTAATGTAGGCATACCTGGAACTTCGTTACGGCAATAATAATTGCCGTTTTCATGAAACGTCGCCTTTTTCCGTTCTGCGGCGTTCTTCCATATTGATCTCATGGGGACGGCGTTTCTTGATGAACTGCGGCAGCTTCGGTCAGTTGACGGCAATTTTGGTCCACACATCCATGCGCCTCAAAGAGTCATTTCGTTTTAGTTTTAGGGCTGCAACATCTTGAGAAGTGCTACCATGAGGCTTGAAAACGATGAGCTCTACTTACAAGTGAAAAAGGAGAAGGCAATTTCAGGGTATGGACGGACCAAAACAATATCCTCTTTGGTAGATCAATCAAAACGGCGATTCTTCTTTTGTGACGGCGTTTTCACTTCTCTGACGGCGTTTTCACTTTCCAGGGATTGAGCTACGGCAGAAAAAATGAGTTACGGCAGAAATTATTGCCTCAACAGCCTACGGCAAAAATTATTGCCTCGGGAGGGTCTAGGTATATTCTACAATCACAGGGGAGTGTCTGGGATAGATGAATTCACTGACGCATGCGACAAGGCAAACCCCACGTAGGCAGTCCCCCGCCTGGTCGCTTCAGAACCCTATAAAGATTCGTGCAGAAATGGACCGCTCTTGTTGCTCTCTTCCAAGGCTGGATCCACAGAGGCCCTCAGCTTTAACTCCAAGAACCTTCATTCGTAGAAGCCCGGCATCATGCAACTTTTAAACTTGCTTCTCAGGCGCAGTAGATACAAGATGCTGCTCGTTTATTCTCAGAACAGCCCAACACATCCTGACAAGGACCCAGCCTGTTCCAGCTTTGCAGGTCGCACCGGTTTGGTTCAATTGTGTAGTCTGTAGCTGTTCCTACTGAGTTGTGCTGAACTAGCTGACCTTGCAAAAACGATCTGCCACCGGAGATCTTCAAGCAAAGGCACCCCAAGCATTGAATCCCAAATGTGTGAGCTTATGTTTGGGCAACCAAGTATAACAGTACAACAAAACAAAATGCGAAGCGGGTATAGTTGCTATCAAAGTCCTGAATCTGAAAGGAAACAATTACATCGGCGATTTTCTTCAGGTGCCTGCATCAATGGGCAAACTCCTATCTCAACACATTTCCAGCTTGAACTGCTGTGTTTGAGCTAGTCGGCCACAGCAAGCGACCACACTTCGGAACTTCGTCTGCTCGGGTCTCTTTCACCGCCGAAACCCGGGGCGGGACTCGTGCCGATTTGACCTCCGAAGTCGTTCGCCGAACCAGAACCATCCTCCGAGTCACTTCGGGTACGGTACTAGTAGCATCCGATCGCTCCGTTCGTCGCGATGCCCTTTGCTCTGTTCGTAGCGTCCTTGCTCCGTTCGTAGACTCCGTTAGGGCCCAAGAGACTCCGAGTCACGTCCTAGTCGCTTCAGTAGGACAGGCACCCTAAGCCTCAGGCGCGTGACGATCATCGCCACTCCTCGCGACAGGCTACGAGTGGTGATGCACCAGGCTGCACCAGGCGATGCAAACATGGAATTCTCAAAGTCAATGACTCTTGGCTTCATTATATCTTTTTCTATCGAGTTTGCCCATTCGGAGCCACATTTAGTGCCTTTTGGTGGGGCCGATTAGGAGCTTGGCTAGTGCGCACCTTTCATCGCCTCATTTGGATCCAACATGGCCTTTGGCTGTTTGTGGACGATTTCTTGTTGACTCAAAACAAGCAAGTGTTACCACTAAGACTGAGCTAACAACCTCTGTCATTTCCAAAACACGTTAGTGCCGTGCTGTTCAAAACATCTCAAAACAGTCCAGCTGTGAAAAGCACATGGCCGAAGAGATCGCTAGAAAAAGCATCCACCGTCTCATCGTGTCAAATGTGATGGAAGCTCATGTGTACCCTCAATTCCACGCGAAGCAAATCAATGTCCTGATCGGCTGTTTCGCATGTCTTCCTCCTTGATGTGGTGCTTTTAGTGTGTACATGTGCCTCTAAATGCCCAGACTATAGACCATTATACGTCTTCAACTGCTCAGTCAGTCTTCCTCCCGGAAGCGTCCTAGCAAAGCGATTCCCACCAGAGCCACGCCGTTGGCCCATAGCAATGAGGATCTGGCAAATGCTTCTGCATAAAGAACCGTCCCACCATCCTTTGTCCAAACATGCCAACATGATCCAACACGTGTATACAAGCGAAGCATGGTGAAACCGCTTTGTGCACACAAAACTTTCAACATGCCAAGATTGTGAAAAAAGCAGTTGCGGACGCGCTTTTGGTGCAGTTCTCGCTTGTGTTGGAACTTGTTTGGAACCCTTTGGGGCATCGCGAACGCTGTTGGGAGGTGTTCGGAATCTGCAGAATCCTTTGGAGCTTATCAGGTGGGGTTGATTGTACAAAAAGGCACTTCAATATACTCGACCCTAAAGTGAGACAAGATTGAGCAGGTTTGAAACTATCAAAGATTTGGGCAGTGACGTAGAACTCTTGCCACGAGACGATTTGTCGCGGTCTCTGAAAAAGGGGCCGTGCGCTTGGTGGCGAAGGCCGCGGAGGCCTGTGAGAGGCCTATGAGAGGCCTGTGAGGGCTCGGATCTCTGAAGCTGTTGGAGGAGTAGTCGAGCCAAAGATGTGGAGATGGATGAAGAACTATATACAGCATATATATATATATATACATGTCTT